CAACAAACTCCAGCTTTTATCCAGGCTTCCCCAGTTTTCCACGGATGTCCCTTCTCTGTTCCAGAGTCCGCTCGAGGAATACTGTCATGTCACCTTCGTCTCCTCAGGTCTGTGACAGTCTCAGACTCCCCTGTTTCTCACGACCCTGACACTTCTGAAGGGTACTGGCCAGGTGTTCTGTAGACGGTCCCTAGACTGGGTTTCTCTGGTATTTTCTCATCCTTAGACTGGGTTTGGGGGACGAAGACCACCGAGGGGAGGTGTCCTTCTCATTGTATCATGTCAGCATGACTTATCACTGGTGACATTAACTCTGCTCACTTGGTGGTGCGTGCCCACAGAAGCCCTGGTGGCACGGTAGTGAAAGCGCTCGGCTGCTAACCAGAAGGTCAGTGGTTCGAACCCACCAGGTGCTTTGCGGGGGAAAGATGAGGTGTCTGCTTCCATAAAGATACAGCCTTAAAAACCATGTGGCAGTTCTATTCTGTCCTCTAGGGTCACGATGAGTCAGAATCAACTCAAGGCAACGGGTTGGGCTTTGGCTTTGGTTGCGTTGCCAGTTTTCTCTGCTCAACAGTTACTGTTTTTCCTTTTCCATCCTCTCATCCTGGGAAGCCATCACTAAATCCAGCTCACAAGCAAGGGGAGGGGAGTGAAAACTTCACATCTTAAACAGGGCGTATCTATATACTGCTGTGCTGTCGCTGTTGGATACCACAAGTCCCTTCTGATCCAGAGCGACCCCAAGTGACACAGAACTGCCCCCTGGGGTTTTCGTGGCGGCAATCTTTACAGGAGATTGCCTGGTCCTGCTCCTGCAGACCCACTGGGTGGGTTCAAACTACCAACCTTTTAGCTAGCAGCCAGGTACTTAACTAGTGCACCACCAGGGCTCCTGTCGATACACTACAAGAGTGATAAATCCAGCCCTCTCTAGACACCACGTGTACAATGACCCCACCCTCTCTAGACACCACGTGTACAGTGACCCCACCCTCTGTAGACACCACGTGTACGGTGACCCCACCCTCTGCAGACACCATGTGTACGATGGCCCCAGCCCCATGTGGACACTATGTGTACGAGGGCCCCAGCCCCAGCCCACTTCCATGGCTACTTATCCAATCATGTGTTTACTGGGACAACTCACACATATGTGCTTTATTCTTTGGATTTATAATCCAACACTATCATTTGTTGGTCAACTGGCTGTAGCTCAGTCACTGGGAGCTCTTTCAGGCTGCTGCCAGAGGCCTTCTGACATTTTCGCGCACGTTTTTTGTTTTGTTTTTTAAGCACTTATCTACTTATTGGCCCTACAAGATGCTTCCAGTTCATCTTTCGTTTTCCCTGTCCCAACTCTAACCCACGGCCATCAAGTTGATTCCGACTCACAGCGCCCCTAGAGGACAGAATAGAACTGCCCCAGAGGGTTTCCAAGGCCGTTAATCATTACAGAAGCAGACTGGCTCAACTTTCTCCCTCGGAGCATCTGGTGGGTTTGAACCGCCAATGTTTTGGTTAGCAGCTGAGTGCTTTACCCACTGTACCAGCAGAACTGGTATATATATGTATATATACTAAAATAAACAAAGATCCACACTAACATCTCTGAATCTAATCCACGGTGTTCCGATCTCCCGTCCTTCTTTTAGCCCATCATTCTGTCCCTAACACTTCTCAGCTGCCGATCGCAGGCATCCTGCATCTAGTTCCACATTAAACCCCATCTATATACCATCTATATAGTAACGAATCACAAGAGGATATACACTATCAGCTACTTTGAAAAAGTCTCAAACACACTATTATTTCCTATCAACTCCTGTAGGAAGTGGGGATGCCCACGCCCCCACAGTGCTGCTGGCAGGACTACCTGTCACCAGGAACGCTCTGCACCTCACCGGGACCTGCAAGTACACACCGTGGTATTATTCACCTCTTCCTCTAGTTACACTTTTGAAGATCTGATGAGCACAGGATAACTGGATCTTCCATCGTGGAAGGCAGGCAGCTAAAACCAGGCAAAACCTGGACTAGGAGCCAGCAGGGCTCTGAAGTCTGTGCTTCTAGATGGGGCCTACCTCCCCTACGGGGCTGTCCGAGGATCAAACACGATCATGTTATGTGGAAAATATGTGACAGCCAGCAGTGAGCTCGTCAAATGTCAGTCACTACCATGGACAGCAAACAAAACTCCTAAGTGCCTCCATGACCACCCACACCACACATGACAGCAGCCCAGACAAGAGGACGACCATGCTGGTGTTCACAAGGCAGACGTCTTTAGGTAGGATGAGAGGCACTGGCTGGTGACATGAAATCCAAAAACGAAGAACTTAAAAGCACGCTTTGGGGTAATTTAATCTGATTTTACTCTTTCATGACACAATTCCTTCTGTTCAGGACACTGACTGGCTGGACTCTCTATACAGGAAGGACACTCTCCATTATGTGGAAGTTCAAACACAGAAATGGAGTTACTGCTCCACGCACTCCGCAGCCTGCCCTGAGCCAAAGGCTGGCACTGAGGGAGGGTGGCGGGTCACTGGGCAGCCCAGGCAGGCCTTCCGGTCATCTCACTGGGTACTCATCTGAAGCAGAGGCACACTTAAACTTGAGAACCACTGAACCAATTCATGGAACTAGGTCTCATTAGTGCAAAATGATAAAGATGAAAAGTCTAGAATTTCTCCTTTACTAAGATTTCACGCGGGATCTGATTGGTGTGAGGCTGGTTGCTCGCTGGGAATAAATCAGCAAAACTGAAATACTTGGGGGTTGAGCCCTGGGTGGCGCGAACGGCTAATGCACTTGGCTGCTAACCAAAAGGCTGGCGGTTCAAGTCTTCCCAGAGGCTTCCCACGGGCCTGGCGCCCTCCTGAAAAGTCAGTCACGGAGAACCCCACAGAGCACAGCTCTACTCTCACACACACGGGGTCGCCGGCAGTCCAAGCCAACCGCTCCTCAGAAAGGAGGTTTCGACAGACTCTAGTCTCCTCTGGTAACCGAAAGGTTGGTGGCTCGAACCCCCCAGCAGCTCCGTGATCTACTCCCACATAGATTACAGCTGAGAAAACCCTGCGGGGCAGTTCTACTCTGTCACAAGGGGTCACTATGAGTTAGATCAGCTTATGGCGCCAGGGACCGTGTATGTTGTGTTCAACATTTCATGTCCAGCTTTTACACGATGCTTAAATGAGTATTTTTCTAATGAGTCCCATCTTATCTTTCATTTTCTGCTCCTTTCTGATAACTATTTCTGGGGTAGGTTATGATGCTAATGATAACATGTATGTGTAAATTATAATAGCAAAAAATAAAAATCAAGGTTTAGCAATTTATACACGTTTATCTTGAAAATGGTTTAAAGCACAGCCAAGCAGCAGTTCAGCAAACAGAACCCACTCCCCAGGGGGCTGGGGGGAGGCTGGGCAGCCACCGGACAGCAGGGGCTCCAGGCAGGGCAGCACACTGCTTACAGGGCTAGACGAGAAATGTTTTAGGCTCTGCAAGTTCTACACTCTGGTGCAGCTACCTAACTCTGCTAATGGAATGCAAAAGCAGCTACGACCATATGCAAATAAATGAGTGTGGCTGTGTTCTAATAAAACTTTATTTACAAAAACAGGCGGCAGGCTGAATTTGGAGCTACGTTAACGCTCACCTCAGGCAGGCCTCTCTCACGGAGCCCACAACCACAGCTTGCCCATGCCTGATCTAGTGATCTGAGGAAAACCCAAGGGAGATGACAGGGGGTTGGCACTGCTGCTATCAGACCGTGACGACAAAGATGACAATATTAATAGTGAGGCTCACTCTGTGCTGGAGACTCTCGGGGCACCGACAGTTAGTGTACTTGTCTGCTAACCCAAGGGCTGGCCACTCGAGTCCACCCCAAGGTACGTCGGAACAAGGGCCTGGCAATCTACCTCCAAAGGACCCCAGCCATCGGAAACCCTACGGGGCGCAGCTTTACTCTGACACACAGGGAGTGCCAGGGGTCGGAGCTGACTCGACGGCAACAAACAGGTAGCCATGCTGGACACGAAGCACCTTCCGCTGAATTCACTCCTTTCCCTCTCTCAGCAGCCTTGATGCATGGTCTACGTGTCCCGCTATCGGGGCCACTGAGATTCCAGCCTGTCTGCATTCAGCATCAGTGCCACAGCTGTCGACTGAACAGTGGCTGACTGCTATTAACAACTTTAGATGGGCACGTGGCTTCCAGATAAAGACTATGCTTCCCAGAGTCCCTCAGCTGCTAGGGCTAGACATGCAACTGAAAGGACTGAGCAGCAGTGATGTGTGTTATCACTAGACCTTTTCCACAAAAGGATGGGCCTTGCTTCCCTGAATTCCTGTCTCTTCCCATTGGCTGGGAGAGGCCCTGAACTGGAGCAGCCACTCTGGAGGCTGATGGAAGCTGAGTGGAGAACAGCAAAACCCCTCCGCCAGCCCTGGCCAGCCCACCTCCAAACCTTTGACCAGAAAGGCATTCCCACCTTGCTCAGGTGGCTTTACTCAGGGGTCGTTTGTTACAGCAGCTTTACCCTCATGATACACTTTACACATACACCCTCTGTCAGCATCAGAGTGAGAACTGTAGAATCATGTGAGTGTAACACGTACCTCAGGAGGAACATGTGAGGCAAAAAAATCTTCCTCTTTTGGTGGAGGGGACAAGGACGGAACCACACAGCTATCAAGCCACAGCTAGAACACAAACATGAACAATGCTTAGCGTGTCATCCAGGGACAAGGGCTTTCCTTCATACTCTTCATACCCGTCCTAGAGACCTGTTTGCTGAGGACTGGCATTTCCCATTATTGCAGGAACAGTATCAGGAGGGACCAGTCCCTGGAAAAGGGCATCATGCGTGGTAACAGACGGTCGGTGAGAAAGAGGAAGGTCCTCCACAAGACGGACTGACAGTGGCCACACAATGGGCACGAACACAGCAACGAACGTCAGGCGGGCCCAGGAGCGGGCAGCGTTCCGTTCTGTTGTACACGGGGTTGTACGAGTCAGAGCCGACTCGATGGCACCGAACACCACCACCAGGCCTGGAGGGGCCTCTGAGCATGCTTGGAAACGTATCCACCTGGTCACCTGGACCTCCCAGCCTTGAGGAAGTCTCAAGTACCTCAGATCCCAAAGCATTTCTGAGAAGGAAGACCAAGGGCTTCCCATCTAAGTGCAGGTTCTAAAGCAGAATGCTGGGGACAAAAACCACTCTGTCCACTGAAACACACATGCTGTCTGAATGCGACTGTCTGGCGCGCCTGGGACTCACATCGGTGCCGTGCTTCCGAGTGGCTTGGGAGGCGAGAGATTTGATTTTCTCACGATAGAGCTGGGCAGCGCGGCTGTTGTACTTGGCGTTGGTGTCGGTGGTGGTACACCCATGCTGGTGGAAGAAGGAGGACTGCAGAAGAAAAGGAGGCTGGTTGCAGAAACAGCACATTCAGTGCAGTACGGGGACAGACTGTACTTCATACGTACAAGGGATGTTTTTAAATACTGGTGAAAAACCAAATAATTTCACCACCATGGAAAGCAATGAAAGAACTTTTTCCTCACCAAAAGGGACTTCTCTTCGCAGATGTGATAATGTTTTGGATATGAGACATGCATTATAAAATGAAACAACTGGTCCTTTCTCTCTCCACAAGGATCTCTGGTGGGACTGTGGTTAAAGCACTCAGCTGCTAACCAAAAGGTTGGTGGTTCGAATCCACCACCTGCTCTGTGGGAGAAAGATGAGGCAATCTGCATCCATAAAGATTTACAGAAACTCTGTGGGGCAGTTCTACTGTGTGCTATGGGGTCACTGTGTGTCGGGATGGACTCGGTGGCAGTGGGTTTTTGGTTTTTATCCACCTCATCACTCTGAAAGTTACCGTGGGAGAAGCTTTCCACTGGGACTGCTGGAATCCATGCGGAATGCACCTCAATGTGGAGCCAGGAAGTCAGAGGTTCTGACACAGTTAGGAGCGCCCCACATTCCTGGCTCTTCAACAGAGGCCACAACCTCGGTCAGACGCGGAGGAAGTGTTTTAAACACTGGGAAGAAAGTGGGTTCACGCACCTCATCAGGATCCAGGCACAGACACGACTTTTGGGATTCACAACTTAATTAAAGCAGCCTGGGCTCAGTCCTCAGCCCAGCTCTTTGTGACCCCATCTCGTTAAACCCTCACTGCAGTGCCCGCTGTCACGGGTCCTCTCTCCACTCTCCAGGCGGACACCCTGAAGCACAGGGAAGCCCTACGAGTTGTCTAAGGTCACAGAGCCTGTGAAGGGCAGGCTGGGACTCCAGCATGAGCAGCGGCTCCCAGCCTGCCCCCATCACTCCCCGTGGGAGCTGACGGCCACGGCGCTGACCCTGGCTGTCTGTGCCTCCACCTCGCTGGCCCTCTGGAGCTGGGTGGGGGTGCTGTGCACCCCTGGGAGGGCTCAGCTATACGGATACAGGAGTCAGACCCACGGCAGTGCACTGAGGAGTAAGTCTGTGAACATCATGATAAGGGGTAAGGGTTTGTAATGAGATGCTTGAAACAGTTAAGGTGTGTGTAATAGCAATGAAAATTGTATCTTGTAAGGCAAAAACAATCTTAGATATTACAATGGTTTGTGGCCCTTGAAAGCTCATGCTTATCCCACAAAACCTTATTCCTTAGTATTGGGCCTCTCTTGACAGGGAGGAATTTCATTCAATTTCAATTTAAAACAATTTACTTAGTTAATTTCAAGTTAAATCATATGCCATTCCTGGGAAGGAAGGTTGGCTGATCTACTTCCATAGTGATTCTGCCTTGGAAACCCAAGGAGGGGTTGCTATGAGTCACGTCCGACTCCACGGCACATAACAACAACAACAGCTTAGGGGCAATAATGAAAAAAGGTTGCGAAACAGTGATCTAAGGGACTATGAATATGAATATATTGTCTAAACAGTGTGAGAGAATCAAATGTATATAACCTATAAATGAAGTTTAAAATGTTTCAAGATTCTTAATTAGGTTTGTAAGTGGGGCTAAGAGAATCTGGTTTTTTAAAATTATAAACTGACCAAACATTTAAAAACTTAATTTTAACACAGAAATGACTAGGTTTATAAACTAATCTATAAGATTTATAAAATGTATTTGAAGATTTAAAGAAAAGGTTTTTATTTTTTTTTAATTTGCAGATTTAATCAATTAAATATGAATCCAGTAAAGATTTAATCAATAAGTATTGATTCCCTTCTAAGCACACACTTTATCCTCTGGTACTAAAAAAGGCCATTTGTTGAAAAGAAGCTCCTGGTCCCTCTGGGTCACTACGACCTGCTACCTCCAAAGCTCTTGTCACCACCTAGTCTTGCCTCGTTGCTTCGTTACCTCCTGACAGTCTCTGCCCGGAGGAGGGGCTCTTGTGTGGCACTGTGTCCCCAGCACCTAGCCCAGAGCTCCGTGTTTACTGGGTGTTGAGAAAACAGCGGAATAAACAAGCCCAGAGCCCCCCACTCTTAGCCTCCGTTGCAGTCTCACATCACTGGGCGGCCCACACCCACTCTGTAAAGATTCTCGGGCCACAAGGTACTTGCATTTAGAAAACCAAACTCTCACCTAGAAATGGCACCCCTCTTTACTGGTGTAACAGGTTTTTTATACACAAGAAGGGAAATGACGAGTCCGCAACGAACTTACTGCGTTAGCGTTCCCTCCAACTTGCATGCATCGCAACTGAAACCAAGACCAGTTTGAATCCAACTCCGTTGACCTATGGAAAGAATATTCGGAAATATTAATCCTTTCTCCCCAGAATCAAACCATGGAACTTCTGAGAACAGCATTGCCTTGGTCTCCAGGCCTTAGACAATTCTAAGTTTGTATTGACAAGACACATACTTCCAGAATGCTATGACTCCAGAGGGGATGACAGCTGGTGGCTCTCCCTCTTCCTCAAGGGCCTCATCTCCTCCATGCATGACCACAGGCAGGCCATGCCAGACCAGGCCATGCTGGGCCAGGCCACACCATACTAGGATAGCCAGCCCAGGCTATACCAGGCCGGACCACACCAGACAGGTCATGCCAGACCAGGCCAGGCCAGGCCACATCACACCAGGCCACACCAGGCCTATTGGGCCAGGACAGGCCATACCAGAGAGGCCACGCCAGGCCAGACCGTACCAGATGGGCCACACCAGGCCAGACCACAACAGACGGACCCCACCAGGCCAGGCCAGCAGCACTTCTGCTGCCCTAATTCCAGGCAGCTGTCTCTTCTAGGGCATGGGGACGTGATCCACTGGGTAGGGATGCTGGAATAACCGCTTGCCCTTTGCCTCATTCTTGGTGGATTATGTGAAATTTGGTGCAGGCCTCAACTCAAGAAAGATGTGCTATTTGGATTTTTCGAGTCAGCTATATGAATTTAGGAGCTCTGGTGGTGCAGTGCCTAAGGCATTTGACTGTTAACCAGCAGCCTGACAGTTCAAACCCACCAGCCACTCCTCGGAAGGAAGACTGGATGATCTACCTCCATAGTGATACCACCTCGGATCCCCAAGGAGGGGTCACTATGAGTTGGATCCGACTTGACGAGAGTGAGTTTTTATTTGGTTTGGTTGGTGATATAGTGCCTAAGGCATTTAACTGCTAACCAGAAGGCTGGCGGTTCAAACCCACCAGCTATTCCTCAGAAGGAAGGTTGGGCAATCTACTTCCATAGTGATACCTTCTCAGAAACCCAAGGAGGGGTCACTACGAGTCAGATCTGACTCGACAGCATTGGGTTGTCTTTTTTTTTTTTTTTTTGGTATCTGCTGAATTTAGAGACCATCTAAAGATTAGATCTGACACACTGAACACCAGTGACCAAAAACCAGAGGAACTGTGGCATGACACCAAGAACATCATCCATGAAGAAAGCAAAAGGTCATTAAAAACAGAAGAAAGGAAGAAAAGACCAAAATGGATGTCAGGAGAGACTCTGAAACTTGCCCTTGGAGAGTAGCTAAAGAGGATGGAAGAATAGACAGGATAAAAGAGCTGAAGAGAAGATTTCAGAGAGCAGTGGGAGAAGACAATTATTACAATGAAATGTGCAAAGACCTGGAGTAAGAGAGCCAGAAGGGAAACGCATGCTTGGCGTTTGTCAAGCTGAAAGAACTAAAGAAAAACTTCAAGCCTTGAGTTGCAATACTGAGAGATTCTAGGGGCAAAATATTAAACGGTGCAGGAAACAACAAAAGAAGATGGAAGGAATACACAGAGTCACTGCACCAAAAAGAATTGGTCGATGTTCATTCATTTCAGGAGGTGACATATGATCAACAACCAATGACAGTGAAGGAAGAAGTCAAGGCTGCACTGAAGGAATTGGCAAAGAGCAAGGCTCCAGGAATTGACAGAATGCCCACTGAGATGTTTCAACAAACAGATGCCCCGCTGGAAGCACTCACTTGTCCATGCCAAGAAATCTGGAAGACAGCTACCTGGCCAACTGACTGGAAGAGAGCCATATTTGTATCTGGTTCCAGGTTCCCTGCAGATAACAAAATCCACAGATGCTTCCCAAGAAGGTGATCCCACAGAATGTGGAAATCATCAAATAATATCAATATCACATGCAAGTAAAATCTTGCTAAAGAGAAGGTGGGGACCAGGTTTGCTGGTCCAATAGAGCCTGGTGAAACCACTGAGACTATGGCCCCTAGCTGCCCTTCAGGTCTGGAATTGAACCCACACCTGTTGTTTCCAGCCAAACAAAGTACAGGCAAGTGAGTTAAACATTTACCTCAAGTAGACACACACCCTGGAGAGAACAATCATGGGAGAAGGAAGGGCTGCTTATGCACAGGGAGACAGCTCAGGGCGCAGAAGAGTATGGAGGGATGGACACTGGGAAGAGGTAACTATGGGGAGGAAGTGGGAGGGGAGCTGTTGTATTGTAAATTTTGGTCAATGACATGAGACAAAGTATATGTGAACTGCTGTATGAAAAGTGAATTTACTCTGTAAATCTTTACCCAAATCAAAATAAAATTAAAAAAAAAAAAATCTTGCTAAAGAGAATTCAAAAATGGGTGCAGCAGTATATTGACAGAGAACTTCCAAAAATGCAAGCTGGATTCAGAAGAGGACGTGGAATGAGGGATATCATTGCTGATGTCAGGTGGATCTTGGCTCAAGGCAAAGAATACCAGAAAGATGTTCACTTATGTTTTATTGACTCTGCAAAAGCATTAGATTGTGTGGATCATAACAAATTATGGATAACACTGAAAAGAATGGTAATTCCAGAACACTTAATTGCACTCATGAGGAACCTGTACATAGACTAGGAGGCTGTCATTTGAACAGAACAAGGAGATACTGCCTGGTCTAAAATCAGGAAGGTAGTGTGTCAGGGTTGCATGCTTTCACCATACTCATTCAATCTGTGTGCTGAGCAAATAATCCGAAAAGCTGGACTATATGAAGAAGAATGTGGCATCAGATTTGGAAGAAGACCCATTAATAACTTGCAGTACGCAGATGACAAAACTCTGCTTGCTGAAAGTGAGGATGACTTTAAGTACTTACTGATGAAGACTGAAGAATACAGTCTGCAGTAAGGATTACATCTCAACATAAAGAAAATGAAAATCCTCACAACTGGACCAATAAGCAGCGTCACGATAAATGGAGAAAAGACTGAAGTTCTTAAAGATTTCATATTACTTGCTTCCACAATCAACACCAATGGAAGCAGCAGTCAAGACATCAGACAACGTATTGCACTGGGCAAATCTGCAAAAGACCTCCTTAAAGTGCTGAAGAGCAAAGATGTCTCCTTGAGAACTAAGATGTGACTTATTCAAGCCATGGTATTTTCAATTGCCTCATATGCATGTGAGAGCTTGATAATGAATAAGGAAGACTGAAGAAGACTTGATGCTTTTGAGTTGTGGTGTTGGTGAAGAAAACTAAAAATACCATGGACTGCCAGAAGAATGAACAAATCTGTCCTGGAAGAAGTGCAGCCAGAATGCTCCTTGGAAGTGAGAATGGCTAGACTTCGTCTAACTTACTCTCGTCATGGTGTCAGAAGGGACCATTCTCTGAAGAAGGGTACAATGCTTGGCAAAGCAGAGGGTCAACAAAAAAGGGGAGGGCCCTCAATGAGATGGATTGACACGGTGGCTGCCACAAGGGGCTCAGGTGTGGCAAGGATGGTGAGGCTGGCACGGGACCAGGCAGGGTTTCGTTCTGTTGTACGCAAGGTCGCTATGAGTTGGAGGTGACTCGACGGCACCTAACAACAACAGCAACATCTGCTTGTCCAGTTTAACTCCTAACAGGAGCCTGGCAGATGCTCGTACTCTTAGCAACAGGTATACGGACCTATCCCAACAACACCATCACAAACCCACTGCCATCAAGTTGATTCCAGCTCAACAGCAGCCCTGGAGGACAGAGCAGAACTGTCCTATAGGGTTTCCAAGGCTGTCAACCTTGATGGAAGCCGACTGTCTCATTCTCCTCCTGCACGGTGGCTGGTGTGTTCAAACTGGTGACTTCTGGTTAGCAGCCAAATGTTTTAACCTCTGCATCACCAGAGCTGCTCATCACCAACAGGGAGGGGAGAAACTCAGGACTGTCACTGCAGGGGGCTCCTCCCCCCACGGCACCTTCTGCCCCACTGATCTAAGAGCCAATCAGGGCAAGGCAGAGGTGCAAACTGCAGAGTCCACCAATAAAAACTCACCAAGGGATCACTGACTGGAGACCCGCCAGGGCAACAGGGTTACAAGTCTGCGCACTGAATCCGTAAACAAAAGGCAAGGCTAGCCTGTTACCAACAACGTGTCCCACACTAAGGTGAGGGGATGCAAACGTTTTAGAATGGGGTCTACAGACTATCTACCAAATGGGCAAAGGAGAAAGACAGGAAAAGAGACGTCGGATCCACCACGACGCACTTGATGCTGCCCATCCACTTAGACTGCTGACTGCCGGCATCGGTTCACCTTTGAAGGGCCCAGGAGCTACTGGGAAGCCACCAGCTACCTTGAAATTAATGCCATCATCTCTCAGGATCCAAAGGGGATTGGTTCCAGGACCCCTGCAGATAACAAAATCCACAGATGCTCAAGTCCCTTCCATAAAATGGCCCAGTGTTTGGATATTGCACACACACACACACACACACACCATGTACATTCACTCACCTTAGATGACATAGTGCCTGAGGCACTTGCCTGCTAACAGAAGGCTGGCGGTTCAAACCCACCAGCCACTCCTCGGAAGGAAAGTTGGGTAATCCTACTTCTGTAGTGCTACCACCTCGGAAACCCAAGGAGGGGTCGCTATGAGTCAGGGCCGACTCGATGGCACATAACAACAACAACAGATGCCCTACAATAACTCATATAATGTAAACACCACGTGAATAGCTCTTCCCACCCCCTCTTAGCCTTTGAGGGGCTGCTCTGCCCACTTAACTGCTTCTCCCCCATGTTCCATCCGCAGTTGTTTGGATCTGTGGGCACAGAACCTGTGGACATGGAGAGCGAATGTCGTAACACCAACAGAGAATGGAAAGTGCATTCACAGTGATGTATAAACAGGAAAGATGAAATCACACTTCAAAAGAACAGGTTTCCTAAAGACAGAAAAACACAGAGCCTCCTTTAGAACTTAGAGTTTCTGATTACTGAGCAAAATGATTAAACTACCCTTCCTTTAGCAAACATGCAATTCTTCAGAAATCCTTTCTCTGGAAGACCCTGC